AAAAAAAAAAAAAAAAAAAAAAAACAATCCTTAAAGGCAAAACCAAATAAAACTGAAAAATTTTTAGGTGTTTGAGAACTAAAACATGCATAACTTTAAAAAATATGAATAACTACAGAGAGCATTCTCATTCACTCAGTTCCCTCATGGCCTCTGCTATCTAAATCTTCTGAAGCTTTGTGGTGCCTGGGGGACTCAGTAGGTGAAGCGTTCCACTTTAGCTCAGGTCATAATCTCATGGTCTGGGACTTCGAGCCCTGTGTGCTGGGCTGACAGCCCTCTGTGCTGACAGCTCAATGCCTGAAGCCTGATTCAGATCTGTGTCTCCTCCTCTCTCTGCCCCTCCCTCACTTGCATGCATGCTCTCTCTCAAAAATAAACAAACATTAAATAAATAAGTAAATAAATAAATCTTCTGAAGCTTTAACATCACTGCCACTCTCAGGTATGGCTAACGTTAGGTGTTCTTACATGGATGTATTTTTACTAAAAGTATAATTTAAATGAACTCCTTTAGAAATTATTCTCAAATTTTTATTTGAAAGAAATGCACATTACCTTGAGAAAAGCATGAAATCTTGGCTTCTGTTTTTCACATTTAATAATTGTTTCCTTGCTCATTTCAAAGAAGTTTACAAAAGGAGGGTATGTTTTTACCAAATCTTTTGACTAGGGAGAAGAAGAAAAAAAGTATTAATTTGTTATGAATGTTACCATTAGATAATGAAATTTAAAGCCAAATAATCAATAGCCAAAATCTGACATACTGAACACAAAAGAAAAATTTGTAATAAGCTTCCTCTCAAGTTAAACACAAAATTTTACACATTTCTCATTAATGAGCCAATTGCTAAACAAAATGCATCAACTGATACACAAAGCCTAAAACTTAAAAAAGCAAGCAAAAACTCAGGAAGAAACAGAAGTATACGATACTTATTGTATTGACATAAACATGACAAAGTTTTCAAATTTCTGTAATTTCGGAATATAGTAAGTAATAAGTACCCCTTATTATGACATACTATTATTTACTGATTAATCCAAACCATCATTTAAAGTTTATTTATTTAGGGGCTCCTTAGTGGCTCCTCAGTCAATTAAGCATCTGACTTTGGCTCAGGTCATGATCTTGCAATCCGTGAATTTGAGCCCCAGGTCATGAGGTTCTGTGCTGACAGCTCAGAGCCTGATTCAGATTCTGTGTCTCCCTCTCTCTCTGCCTCTCCCCTGCTTGCACTCTGTCTCTCTCTCTCTTTCAAAAATAAATATTTAAAAATTTTCTAAAAATAAATAAAAATTAACGTTTATTTATTTTTGAGAGAGAAAGAGCAAGCAAGGGCACATGAATTGGGGAGGGGCAGAGAGAGAGAGAGAATCCCAATCAGGTTCTGCCAGCATGGAATCCAATGTGGAGCTCGAATTCATGAACCGTGAGATCATGCCCTAAAGCCAAAACCAAGAACTGGATGCTTAACCAACTGAATCACCTAGGTGCCCCCAAACAACTACTTAAAAGATTAATTATAAGGGCACCTGGGTGGCTCAGCTGGTTAAATGTCCAACTCTTGATTTCAGCTCAAGTGATGCTCTCATGGTTGTGAGATGGAGCCCCTTGTCAGGCTCTGTGCTGAGTGCCTGCTTGGGACTCTATTTCCCTCTCTCTCTCTCTCTCTGTCTGCTCCTCTCCACTGGCAAGCATGCTCACTCTCTCAAAATAAACATTAAAAATAAAACATCAATTATATTGCCCAAAAATGCAACAATAAAAGGAAAATGTCTCAGCTAACTGAAGAGACTAACAGGTATCAAAATGAAAAGTATGTGACCAAAAGAAAAAAAAAAGTAACAATAATTTGCATATTTGGAATTCTCAACCAATCAGAAAAAAAATGTAAGACTAAATGGTAAGAATGGAAGTTAGGAGGAGGCCTCTGAAAAGAAAAGTGTATGTGCCAGAACCTAAGGCACTGAAACCTATAAATTGTATTCACAGAGACTGAAAGACACTTAGAAATCCTATTCATAGCACCTCATTCAAAATGAACTTACTTTATTTGATAAACTTAAGCTATGTGGTTTTACCCTAGCAAAGGAAATCAGTTCATTAGAAGCTTTTATGCAGGGCAGATACAATGAGATTAAAAAATGATATCAACTAAAAAGAGAAAATTAAAAACTCAGTTACAGAAAATTTCACAAGATCATTAGTCTGTGACCATTTATGAAGGACAAATAACTTGACATACAGTAAAATTTTATAGCACAGGATGACAATTGGTGTTCCCAACGATGACCTTGGGGTATCAAGAAAAGTGTTAAACTATATACAGCAAATATATTTCAGAAACAAGAATATATTTTATAAACACAACTATGTCAGAGTTTTGAAAGCTCACACATTTAAACAAGTAACTGTCACTCCCTGAGGGTACTTAATGAGATGATGCTTTAACCTGAAAACCTAAAAATGAAATACTCACATATTTAAGAAAGATGTCACCAATGCTTTTGCTCTCATCCCAATTAACAATAAGGTCTTCCAGATCATCCTGAAAGAGCACAAATGAAACATTTAAGCTTGAATTTGACAGTCCCTGAAACATTTTCCTATATTTTTGAAATATTCATTTGAAAGAAGTACCTTACAAAGTAACTTAATTCGATGTGCAAAACAGTAACACATTCTTTCTCCTAAAAAAGGAATTAACTCTTTGACTATAAGGAAAATACCCTTTGAAAAATAATTAAGAAAATATAAACAGTGTCAAGTCAATAAGACTAAGCCTAACTTTCCAAATTGAAAAATTCATCTTTTCTTATTAACTATAAAACTGATTGCCATTATTAATTCTAGAAAACTACTTTCAATCTTGCTGCTAAAGCACCCATTTGAAACTGTAATCTCTAACAGGTCAGCAAATTTTACTTAAAGGGCAAGAAGGTAAGTATTTCAAGCCTTGCAGGCCATATGTTTTCTGTTGCAAGTACTCAACTCTGTCCTTGTGGTGTGTAAGCAATCATAGATAATTCATAAAGAATTGAATATGGCTATGTTTTAATAAAATTTTCTTTAGCAAAACAAGCAAAACTTTACCAAAATCCTAATCTGACTAGATTTGGTCCATCAACCATAGTTTGCTAATTCCTGACCCATAAAACTCCTCTATCATCATCCTAAAATATTAAATATTTGTAAAAATTTTTGAAGACATTTAAAAGCATTGTAAGATAATAAAACACAAATCAGATGATAAAATGAGATGCCAAGAAATGACATTCCCTAATTGAAATTCTAAAAGTGACTTTAAAGTAGAAACTAATCAGTAAATTCTTATAACCAAAAGTTCTCCAAGTGTCATCTACAGGCCCCCCAGGAAACCTTTGCAATGGAATTCATGAGATTCAAACTATTTTCATTACAACACTAAAGCTCCATATGTGTTTTCCACTCTTATTTCTCTCACAAGTATACAAGAGACTTTTCTAGAGGCTACAGGATATGAGATACAACAGACTGAATTCAGAAATGGATATGAGAAACAGTCTTCTCTTAAGCAACACAGAAAAAATGTAAAACAGTGTCACTCTTCTTACTATTTTTGCTTTGGAAATTAGTTATTTTCCATAAAGGTTGTTCTTTAAAACAAAAGAAAAGAAAAATTCATAAATCAGACAAACCTTAGGGCGATATAATATAGTAGATTCTGACACTGACTTGCTATTTTAAATACTGGCTCTAACTTTCGGACATGGAACAAACTAGGGTTGGCATAGGGAAGTGATGGGGAGGGGCAAGATGGATGATGGGTACTAAGGAGCACATTTGTGATGAGCACTGAGTGTTGTATGCAAGCGATGAATCACAGTTCTATTCCTGAAACCAATATTGCATTACATATTAACTAATTAAAAAAAAAACAAAAAACTGGCTCTAGAGTTTGTTCTGTGCCCTTGGGCATATTATTTAACCGCTGAGTGCCTCAATTTCCTATTCTGAAAAATGAAGATAGTAATAATTCCTACCTCAAAGGATTAAATTAGTTAATACTTGATTAGCCCTTAGAAGAATCCTTATGGGAACCTGGCTGGCTTAGTCAGGGGAATAAGCGACTTCATCTCGGGGTTTAAGTTTGAGCCCTATGCTGGGTATAGAGACTACTTAAAAATAAAATCTTTAGGGGCATCTGGGTGGCTCAGTTGGTAGTATCCCGACTCTTGATTTCAGTTCAGGTCATGATCCCAGGATTGTGGGATCAAGCCCCAGGTCAGACTCCACACTAAGCATGGAACTTGCTTGGAACTCTCCCTCTCTCTCCGCCACCCTCTACCCCTCTCCCCAGCTTGTACCCTCTCTAAAAGAAATTTTAAAAAACTAAGTCAAATTTTAACCAAAAAAGATCCTTAACAGATTGTAATACTGAGTAAGCAGTTATTAACTTTATTTACCTATGTATTTAATATCAAGTACACAGGATATTTGGAAAACTATGATACAAAAGAGAAAAACTTAAAGCTCTGCCAATATAATCTAGTAGTCCTCTTTTAAAGTGTTAAAAACTGGGGACGCCTGGCTGGCTCAGTCAGTAGAGCGTGTGACTCTTGATCTCATGGTTCTGAGATCAAACTCCCCCACTGGGTGTAGTGCCTACTTTAAAAAAAAAAAAAGCATTAAAACTATAATACTGTAAGATGGCTGTATATATTTACATAAGAACATTACTATCAGAAAGCAATATAATCGAGGCACTTGGTGGCTCAGTCGGTTAAGGTATGATCTCACAGTTTGTGAGCCATCCCTCAGAGTCCGGGGAATGTAATGTATAGCATGGTGACTGTAGTTAACAATACTGTATTGCATATTTGAAAATTGCTAAGAAATTAGATCTCAAAAGTTCTCATCACAAAGAAAAAAGAATGTGTGGGGCTTCTGAGTAGCTGAGTCAGTTAAGCATCTAGCTATGGGTTTTGGCTCAGGTCATGATCTAACAATTTTGTGGGTTCAAGCTCCACATGGGCTGACGATGAAGAGTAAGCCTGCTTAGGACCCTCTCCCCCTTCCCTGTTCGCACTGTCCATCTCTCTCAAAAAACAAATAAATAAACTTGAATAGAAAAAAGTATTTGTAACTATGTGGTGATAAATGTTAACTAAATTTATTGTGGTGATCTCTTCATAATATATACACATATCAAAGTTATCAAAGTATTATTTGTATTCTAAAACTAATACAATGATATGACAATTATATCTCAATTTCTAAAAAAAAAAAAAAAAAAAAAAGGCAAGATAGCATTAGGCTTTAAGGCTTTAAAGACTCTGAAGTCAGACAAGTATTCAAATCCCAGATCCAGGATTTACCAGGTGACTGACTTTGGAAAAATTATTTAATTTCTGTGTGTAGCAGTTTCATATCTGTAAAATGTAGACAATAATACCAACTTCGTGGTACTGTTCACTAGATGTGCCAGTAACTCGATGGCTACAGTTAAAAGAAGGGAAAAAAACCCGCTATGTATAAAAAAGATAAGAAAATACAACAAAATTTAAAATTATGGGTGATAGGATTGTGAGTATTTTCTACTCCTCTTTCCCTTACTCCTGGTCTTACAAATGTTTGACAACCTGGATTGGTTTTGTGGTAGAAAAGGACACAGGCTTTGAAATTTTTAAATGTGTGTCAAACTTGAAATCAGCTAAGCAACAAATAGTTGAAATATTGACAATCCAACTTTATGAGAAAACTAAAGGGTAGCAATCATTTTCAAAGCTCCCGTGAATCAGAAAACATGATTTTCTCTACTGAGATTATGATCCTATACACATAACAAGGATAACATTTTATATTAGAAGAGCACTTACACACCTAGACCAGCTAAATGAGTGACACAAATTCAAATTGATCCACAAATTAGTTAGGACACCAAGATGAAAACCTACTAGCCTTCCCATTCTACCCTTCTGTGTTTCTTATGAAAGAAAAAATATAACAAAAATTCTTTTTGAATATTCAGAAACTTAACTAGAATAAGGTTAAACGAGGCTGAAACTCTATAGCTTATTAAGAAAATAAAGATTCTTTCAGAGTTCCCTTTAGATTTAGAAATAAGTGAAATGTGATCATGGATTTTGATAAAGTACAAATGTAAGAATTTAATAAATTAAATTTTTACTAACAAAGACCTTTTATACTTTTGTTTATAATGTACAGTAAAATCAAAAGTAATATAATGTACTTATTTGAAACATTCTATAATTCAGACTGATCTTTTTATTGGAATATGAAATAACCATTAATATGGGTTGTTTAATATGGGAGGAGAAAACTGCTCAATTTTGCTCAATACTACACAGGAAAAGTAAGAGGAAATAAAGCTTAAACACTTAAGAGATCGGCTAAACCTGTTCCAAAATTACTTTACTATGACAGACTGATAGTAAATCATGGACCCTTCATCAAAGGAAAAACCATTAAGAAGAGGATAGAACAGTCTTATGTGGGTTTTTTTTGTTTGCTTATCTATTAACAGAGAAATGAACAAAATGGTTTCTAGGTCTCTTTCAGCTTCAGTTTTTCAAACTCAAAGCAAAACGTACAACCTGAGAGGGACAGTAGGAAAATAAAAATACCAGTAGCAATCACTTCTCTATAGAAAAGACTTCATAAGGTTTAATTCCTTATTTCAGGATTAATCAAAATCAAAAAACAGGCAAACAACAAATATTAATAGGGCACTGGAGCAAAGGGGCATAAATGATTCAAAGGAATAAATGAGAGAATAAGTTTTAGGTATAAATCTTATTTACCCAATCAATAGTAACTGAAAAAAAAATTATATTATGTAAACACAATCTGAAAAGAGTTACTACCAACCTAACATATACAAATTTACCTTTATCTTAGTGTGCACGTCAAAGATATCAGGGATACTACCAAAAATAGTCTTAATCTCTTCTGGTGCAAGGATAGGCCCACCCCGTTGTCCTTCCTCTTCCAATGGTACCTGAAATAACTAAACGGTTAAAAAAAAAAGACTAGTTTAGATAGATACTTCAGATTCTGTGTCTCCCTCTCTCTCTGTCCCTCCCCCTCTCTCGCACACGCACTCTCAAAAATAAACATTTAAAAAATTAAAAAAATAATATAGACAGTGATAACAGAGGAGATGTTGATGGAAAAGAAAAAAATTTTAGAAAAATATTTCTTCCAAAATGAGACCTTTTTTCATTTCCTATTTTATCCTATTTATTTTTACATCTGTGTATATATATATTCTTATCATAAAATGTTATGTTAGAATCTCATAATATAAAATGGTTAGTATAATACAAGAGTAATTTGTACTTTTTATTCAAATTACTAAGTAAGAAAGCAAAGCAATCAATGATTTCCAGACATACACTTAATATAACTACTAAATGTTTAGACATTTAGCATTTCTGGGTCATAGGTTATACGCATTTTTAACTTTACTGGAAGTTTGACAGTAGGGTGGAAAATAGTTTTTGTGGTGGTTTTCTGTGTCCACTGAGGCCTTGGGGTCGCTGGGGTAAAAGTTGTTTTTAGCACACAACTGTACTTAGATTTTGGCCTCTGAATATACCTCAGTTTATTATTAGTTTACTGACGTATTTAGTATAATAGAGGTTTTCTTTTTGACTTTTTTTCTGATTTCAGTATTTTTAATTGTTTTTAGCAGGTAGGGTTCACCATAATTGCAGAAATGGAAGGCCTGGAAAAATGTATTTATTTAATTTATATTTATATATATAAGTATTTGGGGTGAATAAATTCACAGAAATGTAATTCTTAAAAATAGTAACAATTCAAAATCTTCATGTGAAGTGTTATGGTTTTTTAATAAAGATTTCATTTTTAAGCAATCTACTTCCAACATGGGGGTCAAACTCACAACCCTGAGATCAGAGGTCACATGCTCTAGCAACTAAGTCAGCCAGATGCCCCCATAATTTTCATGTAGTTCTTTACTATTTATCTTTTATTTATTCTATTTCTTGTATTTATTTACTTACTTATCTATCTATCCATCTATTTATTTATTTTTACTTTGGCTTATTATGGCCTTTGTGCTGTTATCACTCATTTTACTTCCACATATATTAAGGACCCAACAATACATTACTATTTTTACTTTAACTAGTCATTTGACTTTTTAAAATTTTACTTTTTACTTTAAAACCTACCAGCAGTCTTAAGACATGTTAAACTATCCAAAAACGGTTCTCATGTACTTGTTTTAAAGCCTCCATAAAACACTAGACAGCCAAACACTTCTGATTCTACCTTTCCAACATTTCTCGAATTTATCCTATTTTCATTTTCACTGAAAGAAGTTCAAGTCTTCAAAATCTCTAACTGAAACTGCTGAAATAACCTCCAAATCAGTCCTGTCTCCACAATTTCCCCTCTTCAGGACCTCCTTCAAAGTGAACCAAGTATCTTCCAAAAAATGCTAGTCAGATACCATCTTCCCCTTCCCATCAAAAATTCTTCTCTATATTAGATATGGCATAACACTACACAAAAGCCTTCTCTGTGTGGCATAGACAGCCTGACCTCAACTCTCACTATATCCATATGCTACCCCCTTACAGCTTAGTTTCCTTAAACCTAAACCCTAGACTAGTCATTATACCTTGAATGATATACATCTTCAATTGTCAATATTATTTGTGTAATTTCAAATACACTTCCTACCCATATTCTTTACATGTACTAATCATACTCCTACTTCAAAATTCACTTCAGTTTTTATCTTCTTTCTGATACTTTTTCCAACTTCAACCCACCGAAACTTCCAACCCAACACCTTCCCTAAGCTTGAAAAGGTAAAACTCTTACCTCACAAATCTCCAAATGCCTTAACTAACCTCCCTCATGATGTTCATATCATTTTACTTGGTATTATAATTAGGTATGTATGTTTTATCTCCTCTTCCAGTCTAAGCTTCTTTAAAATAGGAATCCTCTTTGACACTTGGGACACTAATTTATAATTAATAGACACCCAAGTATTATATGAAATACATAAAGAAGCTTCTGGAGATCCATTTAATTTGGGGGCTAAATTTAATTATTCCATATCCAATTTCAAAAACAGGAAGAAAAACATCAGTCCTAAAATAAAGACTGAAGAGAACATTATTATGACTTTAGATCACAATCTTTTAAATAAAATCTTAGGTGAGTTTATAGTAAGCACAGTGGTATGAAATGATCTAAGTCTAACAATTCAAAGGGCTTTTTTTACGGCATTTTAGCTAATTTAATTGATATGCAAATTACAATTCTGAAACTCCAGTGCATTTACCATGGCCTTAAAGGATTTACATTTCTGGATAATAAATGCTACTAAAGTACATGAACAGTATATGCCAAGGGGATTTTCTGCTACTCGACTACATTTTGGCTGACTATAAAAACTTCAACAAGAAACTTATCCAGGATGATTTCCCTTGAGGAAGAAGAGCAAAGCTGACTTAAAACAAGTAAAGTTTAATACAGCAGAGGGCCTCATAAACCCTTGACTGCTGCTAAACAAATTAACTGTGAAGAATAACCTCTCCATGAATAGCAGGAAAAGAAGTCTTTCCATTTCTTATCCATGCATTTTATCATGGTACAAGCAACTAAAGACTATCATATTGAACCTTAATGAGTTATATTAAAAATCCAAATAGAGGTCAGTTAAAAATTAACCCCAATCAGAAGCTCCCTATTATTTTTTTATTCAAAGACAAGCTTGATGGTATCAACTTTATTTTCCTGACAATCTCCTTCATTACCTACAACAAATATATTCCCTCTTTCTGCAGATGCCAATATAACGTCCTATTATTGTATTTCAGAACCTTGAATTTCAGTTTATTCTTTAATATCATCTTCAATCTCATCCTAGAAGGATCCATTAGAATTGTTTTTCTTCAGCAATAACTTCATAGTACATTTTAATGATTAGCAAGGAATTAATATTTATGACTAACCACTGCATACTTTAAGAAACTTGACAAATGAGGGGTGGCTGGGTGTCTCAGTCCGTTAAGCATCTGACTTCAGCTCTGGTCATGATCTCACAGCTCAGGAGTTCGAGCCCCATGTCAGGCTCTGTGCTGACAGCTTAGAGCCTAGAGCCTGAAGCCTGCTTCGGATTCTGCCCCTCCCCTACTTGTGCTCTGTCTCTCAAAAATAACTAAACATTGAAAAAAAATTTTTTAAAGAAACTTGACTCATGAAAGGATTACTGAAAAAAATTACATCCATACTGTTATGCTTCATTGCTATTGATTTTCACATACATACAATACTAAATAAAGCAATGACTCCTAGAATGCACACTTTCAGAAAAAGTTATCTACCATATCCGCATATGAATATAAATGCAGTATCCTGACAGGGAACATGAAAAGTTCTGCACTGAATAAAAGTTAGTCCTCTCCAAGATCATCTATTGAGGATTCTTCTCTTTTGAAGTCACTATAAAAAGTGGTGCTATTTCTATATGAATAAAAGCTACTATTACACTTACGGTATTTCCCTAATAGCAGACTTTTGTCATACATTTTCATTTTTAGTATCTATGTTCAAATTCTATGCTTACATAATTTGCTTGTAAGAAATAACATCTCTCAGATTTTTTAGTTAGAAACACAGGAATGGGGATCATTTTGCACCAAACTCTTACCTGAATGATTGTGGCCAATATATTTACATAATTACTTTCAGTTTGATAAAGCTCTTTTGCAACTTGCCACCTGGCTGACTGCTTTGAAGGAACTGGAGTGGAATTTTTAGAAGACTTAGTACAAGACTTTGGTGTTTCTAAAAGGTGAAAAAGAGGAAATATTTAATGAAAGTCAGATAGAGTACTAGATATTGTGCAGATTTAACAACAAAAAAAAGGGGGCAAGATATCCACTCTTACAAATGTACCCATTTAGATTTTCACTAAAGTTTAATTTCTTTATTGGATAAAGCCAGAAAAAAATAATGGTCCAAAGTATCAGTGACTCCAAAATGACAGACATTATACTAAATAGCTGGCCTGTACTCTTCAAAAATGTTAAAGTCATTGATCGAAAACAAAGAAAGCTGAGGAACTATTCCAGATTAGAAGAGACTAGAGAGAGATAACAACTTTCTCTATGACCCTGGATTGAGTCTTAGACCAGGAGGAAAAAAAAAACAAAAAACTTTTTCTTTTCCTAAAAAGGATATAAGTGGAACAACTAATAAAAATTAAGAGTAGGTCATGGTATTAATGTCAATTTCCTAATTACAATACCTGTATTACAGTGGTACAAGAAATGTCCCTCTATTTTGGGAAATACACATTTAAGTATTTAGAAATAAAGCATGAAATATCTGCAACTTAATCTCAAATAGTGCAGACATAAAAAAATATGTGTGTATATAGAAAAAGAGAGAGAATGAATGAATAAATAAATGCTAACACAAACATGGCAGAGTATTTCCATTTGGGAAATCTGAGTAGAGTACTGGAATATTTGTACTATTTTTATAGCTTTTTGCAATCTGAAAATATTTCAAAATAAAAAGCTCAAATCAAATTTTAAAATTTTCCATAAAAATATTTAAGTTAAAGGATAAATAGGTTGTTATGATTACACATTAACAGAAAACTTAACATATATGTATATGCAGGAAGCCTTCCTCAAAAAAAAAAACAACCCAACATCACTGCAAATTCTTGGTTAGTTCTTAATATAAAAACACCCAGTCCAACACAAAGTGGGAGGACACATGAAATTTCATAAAAGCTTAATATAGTATACTTTCTTACTATCAATATGATTAAAATACTTTAACATTATGTACAGAATCTCCTAATAGCAAGCTTTTCAATAAGAAAACTAATGTATAACATACAATAGAATGACATAGAAAAAAACAATACATAGTCCCAGTATATTAATTTTAGTCAATGATAATTTTAAGTATTATTAAAACAATGATATGGAACTTTGAGTGCTTTTCAAAGCTGGTAGACTTCAAAGATGTTCCCACTTGCCATTTGTTATTTCAGGCTGCTCTCAACAGACCGAAGAGCTTCTGCCATTACATATTTCAAGAGGAAGAAACTGACATACATTGATCTAATTTAATTACTGTGTTTAGGCAGTGATCTACAAACTGGGCATTCTACTATACAGAGTACCTTATATATTAGTACAACTGTCATGTCTGAGTTTTGTCGTGGTTCATTTTCTTCTGTTCCCTCAACTGCATATTCAAGCTTCAGTCCTTTATGATCAGCTCTTACTATCCCATACCCAGTATGTTCATCATGATTGTGGACCCAGTAAATTCTCAGACCTATGTATCTAATCATAATCCTCTACCCAAACACCAAGTTCAATTTTTCCAAATACCCAACGGATATTTGTACCTCAATTTTACCTGGATATTCTCTAACACTGCACTATCTTCCTCTAAAATACAGACTTCCTATTTTTGCCAAGGTAACATCCTATTTTAATACTTTGCCATCATCCCTTATTCCCTTCCTGTCACTCCATTCCATGTTATCTCCACTTTTCTTTCCAACTATTAGCAACCCTGACTCAGGGCCTTATCACCTTGTGGCCTAAGCCACTATAGATTACTTCATGGTCTGGCCATCTCTAAACTGCCTTCCTTTTAATCATTCTTCAGAATAATCCACTACAAATTACCTACTCAACCAATTACTCTACTGCTCAATAGATTCTTAAAATTCTTCATTAATGATTATATGCAGCTCAAACATGCCAGTCTGATTTTAAAGTCCTCTAATATTAGGCCCCAACTAAACTTTCTAATTTAACTATAACTCCTCCATACTACAAGTCAACTAATCTATTCACTACTCCCCAAACAGCAAATTTGTATACTGTTATCTGTATTCTTACTCATCTTATTTCTCAACTCCACCTTAGTTTTCTGGGTCTATCCTAAACTGACACTAAATTCTTTCCATGAATATTTAGTGAGTACCTACTCTCTACTAGGCATTGTTCTTGTCTTTGTAAAGCTTACATTCTGGTGAAGCAAACAAAATTAACAAAAAATATAGTTTCTAACAGTAATAACTACTAGTAAAGACAACAACCAGGTAATGGGTTGGTGAGGAGTACTCAAACAGGGATCTAACTGCAGAAAACCCAAGAAGATTTCTTTAAAGCAAAGAGGGCAAGTATAAAGTTCCTGAGGTATGAATATAGTGGGAATATCTGAAGAATAACAAAGATAATTAGTGTGATGGAAGCTTAAATTACAGGAGAGCATGATATCATATGAGGTTGAAGATAGCTGAGAAAGGATCATGTAGGAACTTGAAAGCTATGGTAATGCAAAGCCGCTGAATGAATACCAGCAGAGAAGAGGCATATGTATTTTAGAGACCTAAGTGCTGCATGTAGAAAGGCAAAATTGGGGATGCCTGACTGGCTCAGTTAGAAGAGCATACAACTCTTAATCTCAGGGTCATGTGTTTAATCTCCAGGTTGGTGTAGAGATTACTTAGATAAATAAATAAACTAACTTAAAAGAAAAAAGAAAGGTAAGGGGGCACCTGAGTGGCTCAGTTGCTTAAGCATCCAACTTAAGTTGAGTTCGAGCCCCGCATCGGGCTCTGTGCTGACAGCTAAAAGCCTGGAACTTGCTTCAGATTCTGTGTCTCCCTCTCTCTCTCTGCTCCTCCCCTGCTCACGCTTTGTGCCTCCCTCTCTCTCTCTCTCAAAAATAAACATTAACAAAGTAACAATAATAATAAAAAATAAAAAGAAAGGCAAAAATGAATATAAAGAGACCATTTAGAAGCCCAAAATAATCGTCTGAGATCCAATGTATAGAAAAGGCTGATAACAAAGGATGGCAAAGTAATAGAGTTCAGAGTGGTAGAGAGAATCAAAACAAAAAGTTCTAATTTTCTTATGCTAAATTTAAGAAGTATATTGGACATGGACAAGTAGGAATAGGTCTTAAGTAGGCAGTTGGAAAGAGAAGGAAACAAATTGGGAAGTCAATAGCATGAATGTTTTTAAAGCCATGGAATTAAATGACACCATTTAGGAAGGATACAATAGAGAAGAAATGACTCAGAAATAACCTTCAGTAGTTAGAGCTGGAGAATTTAGGCAAAAGAGAACAAGAAATGATGTACGAAAGCTATGGAAAAAAACTATCTCCAGGGATAGTGAGCTGTTCACATGCTCAGTGTTGCTGACTGCATAAAAACGGTCAGTCTCCTAAGCAAGAGCAATTTCATGCAGTAGGGAATAAAGTTCAGTTGGAATGGGTTAAAAAGACAATGAAAGCCAAGGAAGTGACACAATAGATCACAGTAAATCTTTGAAGAACACTCCTGTAAAAGGAAAGAGAAAACTGAGACAGTAAATAGAGTCATGGGGTTAAGGGGAGGTTTTGATTATTTCTTAAATCTAAAAAACACAACATATTTATATGCAGATTAAAAAACAAAAATGGAGGGAAAAATTGATGACCAGAGACAAGAGTTAATTCTAGGGCCTTCCTCTATCATTTGAGAACAAACCAAACTTACCCTACACTGATTTAAATGTACCTATTTTCTCCATAATTCATGTGACTCCTGTGATCTTTTCTTGCTAGAGTTAAAAATTGGCTCTTTGAACAGCTCTATCATTTTCTAGAGTAATACACAAATAAAATATAGAAAGCACTTAGCATATAGTAACCAATCATGAAATGGAAGCACTTTTATGTGCCTTTTCTCCTCAGCAAGAACAATGGTAATAAAAGGCAGAACCTTTCATATTCACTGTAGCAGTGATTTACCTATATTCTAATAATTAATCCATTCTGCTAAACTTCAATCATCAATTTTTTAAAATGTGAATTACCTCCATAGTTAATGCTAGATTCTGGTGTGTTGGAGATATCTAGGAGTGACCCTATAGAAAGGGAATGTTCAGCTGACGGGCGCTTACGGGGAGGAAAAGGTGACATGTCTGTCTCTCTTGAAAGCTGAGCAAGTGTCTCTTTTAAACGACGTCTTTTCCGATTGCTGTTTGGGGTATTTAGAGAAAGCAGTGACACTGATTTCTTGAGCTCAGGAGTATTAGCCTGCAATCAAAAGCACAAAAGCTCAATTTTACTTCCTTGGTTCTATACAGAGACAGGGACAGAAGAAAAATGTATTTGCAAACTTGACAAAATCTGGATTTTGCACAATGATTTTACAACTATACACTCTGCCAGGTAATTCAGACGATTCATAAAACATAATAGTCAAGGGACCACTGTAATTGCCTAACCCCAAGCACCTCATTCTGTTTCTTCATAGCTCTATCACCATTATCTATTCATCTGTAAGCTTGTTTACTGTCTAGTCCCCTGTTAGGCCATCAACTCTGGAAGACAGGGACCATTCATATTTTGTTCACCATATCCTTAGCATTTAGTACAGCACATGGACATACTGCTCTCCAGTATTTGCCAAATAACACTTGACTTTAAAAACTCTCTCCTGATATTTTAAGCACAAATTTTAACTTTATGTTAAAAACCTTACTTTGAGAACAGAAGAATCAGAAGACAATATAGTACCTATTTAGATTTTATAGAAACATAATAAAACTGTACCACCTCTTCAGTATTCCATTCAAACTAAATCTCCAAATAAAGAAAATCTTCCCTTCATGTTTTGGTGAATGATACCACTTTTCATCAATCTAGGACAAAGGCTGCATTTTTCTTGCCTACAATCTACTATTAGAGTCATTTTTTAATGATATCTCTCCCCTTAGATATTCTTCAATGGCCTCCAATATTTCCCAAATTCTTTAAGATGTGAAAACTGCCTTGATTCTGTCTACATCATAAGCTATATTTGTTGGCCGTTCCCACACTCTTTTCTAAAGCCACACTAAACTACTTGCTTTTTCAATGTACTTTCAAGTACTTGCTGTCTAACTTGAATGTCCTTACAAGGTTAGTCTAGTAAGTTCACTAAACACTTATTTGTTCTTTTCAGTCCCTCCTGAGTCTCAGAGTGAGGCTTGTTAAATAATTACTCAACTATAGCACATATTCTGCACTTAAACCGTATGTATAGCCATCTTTCCCTTAAGATTCTACGTTTCTGGGGCGCTTAGGTGGCTCAGTTGGTTAAGCATCTGACTTTAGCTCGGGTCACAGTATCTGTGGGTTCGAGCCCCACTTCAGGCTCTGTGCTGACAGCTAGCTGAGAGCCTGGAGCCTGCTTCAGATTGTGTCTCCCTCTCTCTCTCTGACCCACCCCTGCTCACGCTATCTCTCTCAGAAATAAATAAAACATTTAAAAAAAATTTTTTAAATAAGACTCTACGTTTCTAAAGATAGGACTGTTACTGTTCATAATGGTATCACTAAGTAGCAGCACAGAATGACATGATTAGATTAAAATATATCTACTGCATTGAATAGTTTTACTTAAAGCTACACAGGCTATTACTCGGAATATCCAATTATCCAATTATTCTGAAACTCCTGAACATGACATAAAAGATGACTGGTATGTCAATTATACCATGCTCTTTTTGGACAGAGGTACTATCTTTATACAATCAAATGAATAAGGTACAATAAAAGCATACCTTTTCATATAAATACATAGTTTCTCCAGCTCGGGCATCCATTTGAATGCTTCCCCAGAACCACTAGGTGAGAGACAAAAAAATTTTTTTTTTAATTAAGATTTTTACCTTCTCAGGAAAGCTATTAGGTAGGGCACCTGACTGGCTGAGTGGGTTAAGCATCTTAAATCAACCAGCTCTTGATTTTGGCTCAGGTTATGATCTCACAGTTTGTGAAATCGAGCGAGCCCCATGTCAGGCTCCACACTAACAGTGCAGAAGCTGCTTGTGACTCTCTCTCTGTCTCAATCTCTCCCTCTCTCTCTCTCTCCTTCCCCGCACTTGAGCTCTCTAAACAAACATTAAAAAAAAAAAAGAAAAAAAAGAGGGGCACCTGGGTGGCTCTGCCAGTTAAGCATCTGACTTGGCATGGGTCATTATCCTGAGGTTCACAAGTTTGAGCCCTGCGTCTGGCTCTATGCTGACAGCCTGGAGCCTACAGCCTGCTTTGGATTCTGTGTCTCCCTTTCTCTCTGCCCCTCCCCTGCTAGTTCTCTTTCTCTCAGAAATAAATAAAACATTAAAATAAAAAGCAGGGGGGGGGGGGGTTGCCTGGGTGGCTCAGTCGACTAAGCAACTGACTTCGGCTCAGGTGAAGCCTGAGCTCCAAGCGTGGAGCCTCCTTCAGATTCTGTGTCTCCCTCTCTCTCTACCCATCCCCAACTCACACTCCGCCTACCTCAAAACTAAATAAACGTTATAAAAATAATTTAAATAAAAAGGAAAAACTATTAGTACTATTTTTTAAAAACCAATCTTGGGGCATCTAGGTGGCTCAGTTGGTAGAGCATGCAACTCTTAATCTCACGGCCCTGAGCTCAAACCCCACACTGGTATGGAGCCTACTTAAAATAAAAATATTAAATTAAAACAAAACTGTATTAAAAAACAAAACTATAGAGAGTTTTATTATATTTATTTATTATAATTATTCTAAAATTACTTGCCTCCTGCTTGACAACATAAAGTTTCTTCGAAGGTTCAAATGGAAGTTCTTTTACTATATTCTCTTCAACTATAAGATGAGTGCATCTTTCATCTCCAACAGGTAAACAGTTACCTCCTAAAGAGAAATGCATACAAGCATAAATAAGCTGAACTATTTATCTCCAAACCTGAATTTTTAAAGAGGCATATTCACCAGGAGGGAATTAAGCAAGAGTAGGGAAGAAAATATAAAAATATAACTTTTAAATTATACTAAATTCTACCTTGCATTTCAGTCATTTCTTCCATATTGGTTTTTTCTTCATCTGAAAATCCCAGGAAACTTAAAATGCAATCTTGAAATGGAGGAACTTTAAATTCATTTCTAAAGTCATCAACTGATGCACAGAAATCCCTAAAAACAAAATATACTCTTCTAAAACAGCTTAACTTAAATGTGAATTTATATATCTATAATAATTCTTAAAGCTTTAGTGTAATCCATTTATCAAAAATATTTTACATGTGGTCCTGAAATGTCCATAAAAACATCAGTTAAAAAAAAACCCCAAATTGAGGTGTTCTCAGTCATCTCAGAGTAACTTCTGACAAAATTTGATCACGAGTAGTCTTTACAAGACTTAAATCTCTGCTTTGGACATGAAATTTTCTATGTGTTCCAGGGATTCACTATAGTTTCATGAAAAGTTAAGTAATGATGTAGAATAGCAAGGAATTATGAGGTCAGATAGATTAACAAGGTTATGAAGTGCAATCACCACTTAGAACGTTACCAGATAAACATAATAAAAAACATAACACGATCTAAATATCCAGATGCATGAAACTATTACCTGGTAATTTTAGAATGTTAATGATAATCAAGAGAAACAAAAGCAAAAATGAACTATTGGGACTTTATCAACATAAAAAGCTTCTGCACAGCAAAGGAAATAATCAACAAAACTAAAAGGCAATCTACAGAATGGGAGAAGATATTTACAAATGACAGATCTGATAAAGGACAAAAAGAATTTATCAGGGCGCCTGTGTGGCTCAGTGAGTTAATCGTCCAATTTCAGCTCAAGTCATGATCTCGCCGTTCCTGGGTTCAAGCCCCATATCCAGTTCTACGCTGACAGTTCAGAGCCTGGAGCCTGCTTCGGATTTTGTCTCTGTCTCTGTCTCTCTCTGCCACTCCCCCACTCACAATCTGTCTCTCTCAAAAATAAACATTAAAAAAATTGATGGAGGAACAAGGGGGAGAAGAAGGGCGGAAATGGTGGGGGAAAGGGAGAGAGGCAAACCATGAGAGACTCTTGAATGCTGACAAAAACTGAGGACTGATGGATGTGGGGGGGAGGGGGGGTGGGCGTGGAGGAGGACACTTGTGGGGATGAGCACTGAGTGTTATGTGGAAACTAATTTGACAATAAACTATTTGTAAAAAAAATAAAAAATAAAAAAATTTTAAAAATTTTAAAAAAATTAAAAATTTTTTAAAAATTATCTAACTCAACACAAAAAATAAATAATCCAGTTAAGAAATGGGCAAAAGACATGAATAGGCACTTCTCCAAAGACATGGCTAACAGACACACTCCTCATCGGGAAAATACAAATCAAAACCACACTGAATACAACCTTACATCTGTCAGAATGGCTAAAATTAACAACTCAGGAAACAACAGATGTTGGCAAAAATGCAGAGAAAGGGGAACCTTCTTACTAAGCTGTTGGTAGGAATGCAAACTAGTGTAGCCACTGTGGAAAATGGGTGTGGAGGTTCCTCAGAAAGTTAAAAATAGAACTACCCTACAACCCAGGAATTGCACTACTAGGGATCTATCCAAAGGATATAAAAAAGCTGATCTGAAGGGGCATTTTCACCTCCATATTTATAGCAGCACTATCAACAATAGGCAAATTATGGAAAGAGCCCATATGTCCATAAACTGATGAATGGATAAAGACACACACACAAAGCATTATTACCCATCAAAAAGAATGAAATCTTGCCATTTGCAATGATGTGGATGGAACTAGAGTGCATAATGCTAAGTGAAATAGGTCAGTCACAGAAAGACAAATACCATATGATTTCACTCATGTGGGATTTAAGAAATACAACACGAACAAAGGAAAAAGAAAGGAAAATTAAATAAGATTAAAACAGAGGCAAACTATAAGAGACTCTTAACTAAAGAAAGGGTTGCTGGAGGGGAGGTTGGTAGAGGGATGGACTAAGTGGATACTGGGCATTAAGGAGGGCACTTGTCATGATGAGTACTGGGTTATATATATATGTAAGTGAATGAATAACTAAATACACCTAAAACCACTATTACACTATATGGTATCTAACGTGAAGTTAAGTAAAATCTTTGGAGAAAAAAAGAATGTTAATGATAATCAAAATTATTCCACAAAGTAAAATCAAAAGGTACAACAGACGTCTTTCAATTTTCAATTTTTTTATAATTTTTTTATAACTTTGTTCCACCTAGACTGCATTCCTTAGGCTATCCAAAGACTAAGTTCATTTTGACTATACTAGGTATGAATTTAGGGTTTGGGGCACATAGGTTTACTTTGATAACACATTTAATTCTAACAATAAACTACTGAATTTCTAAATACTTACTGTTCATTCCGCCTTTCCCAAGCTTTATAAATCCATTCTGGTTTCATAATTGGAGTGCCCAGACTCACAGCAATCTAAAAATATGAGCATTAATTACCATAAACTTTCACTTTAAATAACTGCCTTCATAGAAGTTCTAAGCAATTTTATACATACTACTTTTTTGCAGTTTTATATCATTATTCATCTGCTTTATGATAAAATATAAATAAAAGTTAACCAAAAAAATTGTCTTTCAATAGTACAACTTAGGTTAAAATAATTTAGAATAAGTTCCATGATGTCTAAATCATTTCCTTATTTTAAATAAATATAACTCTGAAGTTAAGTTCATCTTTATTTTACTACATTTCTATTTCTCTTCTGTATTTACTTTTATGTAAGTACTGACCCCCAAGACAGCACTACAGAGGCAAATATCTGATTAAGTCACTAAAAACTAAGATATAAATTAAAAAGTATACCTCCCAAGAATTCAGTATTACCCCAAAATTACCATTTGTTACATAAATACACTGATAGAGGGTAGGAACAAGGTGATATACTCTCCCTAAGATACTCAAGTGTAAACTTAAAATTTTAATTCTAACAGAAGCACCTTCTCCCGTTTTTTTAGTTTTCACTAGTTAAATCTTAGGACCATTTTATAAGAACACAGCTGCTCTTATTAAGACCATTTAGACACGAGTGAAATATCTGCTCAACACTTCCCAACCCTCATTCACCAACACTCCTAGTAAATTTTGCTAATATTAATCATCTGCCAGAAATGTTACCCATCTACCAACCTCCACAATTCTACTCATTCACAAATCCTACTTATTTCAAGACCTAATTCAGGTTCCATTTCTTCCTTAATATTGAAAGAACCACACTCCTACGATTTAAAGTTTTTACTTGTGGGAGAAACAGATAAGCTGAAAGTGCTGTTATTAATCCAACCTCCAAAAATACTATATTGAAATCCACCCAAGTTTACATACCCTGAATTTTTCTCCTTGTGTACAGTTTGCCACCAAATGTGTAACTTTTGAATTAAAGTCTTTTCGAATAACTCCACCCATGTGATGAACCAATGTCACCAATCTGACCTCAAAAGAAAAATTAAGCAACATTAACTTTATAGGAAATTTGAAAAAAACTTAAATTACATTTATAAGTCATTTAATACTGAATAATTTTTATTTATAAGGTACATGCAAGAATTTTACAAAGACATGAATTTGCCTTATTGGCATAGGCAAGATTATACATAGAGACAAACTAGTAAAGAGGATTACACAAATAGTGAATTAAACAACTGGCTTTCATACATCCCAAACAGAATGTTGGTTTTTTTTTTTTTTTTTTTTAACACCAGATTATATCTTGCCACAAAATTACAGTAATATTCTATTAGCTCCAAAAAAACTTTATGAGTCAAGGAAGTTTTGTGAATTGTCTAGGGCAACAAATATACTTTAGGGCTGGGCCTGTATAACAAGAAATCGCAATGTGTAGGGGCACCTAGGTGGCTCGGGTCATGATCTCACAGCCTCTGGGTTCGAGCCCTATGTCGGCTCTGTGCTGACAGCTCAGAGCCCAGGGCCTGCTTCGAATTCTGTGTCTCCCTCTCTCTCTTCCCCTCCCCTGCTCATGCTCTGTCTCTCTTTCTCTCAAAAATAACATTTTTTTAAAAAAATGTAAGTATTATTATTAAAAAAAGAAATTGTAATTTGTAAACAAAAACTTCATTCAAATAATGTGGCTGATATGATACTTAACAAAATGACAATTTAAAGATGATAGTATGAAGTTTTTCTGTTAATTCATACGCGTGCCATCCTAAAGAAAAATGTTTCTTTACAAGGCTCTTCAGAATGTTTCTTCACAAAATTTAAAACTTGCCTTTCAATGTTTTAAAAACCATGATATAACTACCCATTAAAAATGTCAGTTTAAATTTATTCGGCTGGAAAAAATATTCCCTTAATACAGTGTTTTAAAACACTTACTAGTTCTTCTTTCTTCCTGAATCCAGTAAAGCACAGTACTAGGTTCGTCATGCTTGTACAGTAGAGTGGACGACATGAGAATGGCAAAGGCTGAAGGGCACAACAGTTTTAAATCTGTGAGCTTGCTTTATAGTAGAGAACAGAACACGTTTCCCAAGCTAAACATATTTCCCCCTCAACTTTGTCAATCCAAAAATTTCTTGCATTTTTTGATATGCAACAAAAAAACACATTACAAGTTTTATAATAAAAAAATTTCCCAGGATTCCAAAATCATATTTGACACACATAATCTAAATTCTTCAGTAATGGCAAATTAAACATATTTGTATGCAAACCTCCAGTTCTAAAATATACTCTGACATATTCAAAGTCTCATCTACTAGGAAGAATTTCAGCCTCCATCCACTATTGTAAATATTTCCAATTAAAGCTAAAATAGTTCATATTTTATAATGAACACTATGTAAATGACATATATTTGAATCAAATATGATTCCAGTTTTTGAGCTAAAAAATGAAAATAGTAGATAATTTATACACATATATATGTATATATATATATAAAATGGAAAGAGAATGGCTAAAATAAAACATGTATTGGGACGCCTGGGTGGCCCAGTTGGTTGCATCTAACTCCAACTCAGGTCATAATCCCATGGTTCATGGGTTCAAGCCCTGCATCGGGCTCTGTGCTGACAGTTCAGAGCCTGGGAGCCTGCTTCAGATTCTGTGTGTGTGTCTCTCTCTTTACCCCTCCCCCACTTGTGCTCTGTATCTCTGTCTCTCAAAAATAAACACTAAAAAAATTATTTTAAAAATGTATAAATATATAATTCCCACCATTAAGCAAATTAGTTCACAATTTTGGTCTTTAAAAAGTTTGATTTTTGAAAAGCACTTTTTTTAAGCTTATTTATTTTGAGAGAGAACATGACAGAGGAAGAGTGAGCAGGCAAAGAAAGAGGGAGGGAGAGAATCCCAAGCAGGCGCCCCACTGTCAGCACAGAGCCCAATACAGGGCTCAATCTCACAAAACCATGAGATCATGACCTGAGCCGAAATCATGAGTCAGTCGATTAACCAACTGAGCCACCCAGGTGCTCCTCAAAGCAACACTTCTGAATCAAAATAGAGCATTAAAGATAATCATTGAGCTTTACTAAGTATCTAGAACAAAAGGAACACAGTGTCTTAAACAATTTTAAATTAACAAGGTGAGCTTAAGATTGGCAAAGCCTGCAATAAAACCAAAGAATAGGGACTAACTCTACTACAACTCTAGCATTAAAATGTTATTTATAAACAAAAAGCCATGGGTGGGGGTTGGGGGAAGTGGTGCACCTGCGTGGCTCAGTCCACTAAGCCACTTGATTCTTGATTTCATAGGTCATGATCTCATGGTTCTCACATAATCGAGCCCCAGGTAGGGCTCTGCTCTGACAGTGCAGACCCTGCTTGGGATTCCCTCTCCCTCTCTCTGCCCCTCTCTCATCAAAAATAAACTTTAAAACAAAAACAAAAACAAAAAGCTGGGTGCCTGACTGGCTCAGTCAGAAAAGCATATGACACCTGATCTTGGGGCAGGGAGTTCAAGCCCCATGCTGGGTGTAGAGATTACTTAAAACAAATAAAGTTACAACCCAATTAAAAAAAAAAAAAAAAAAAAGGCTAAAATAATTTTAAATAATGCAGTAACTAATAAAAATGGAAATGTGTATCTGTTTTATGGAAGAAAATAAATTTATATACATGTATATGTTCCTGGAAGCCAAGTTCTAAGAAATTATGTCTTCCCAAGACATTGCTGGTATATATACAGACAAATATCTAGTTGTTATTATTAACTTTCAAAAGTCTTAGATTTTCACTCCTGAAAGTTATAATAGAAAGATTTAAAGGACTGTAATAGAATAGTCATTACTATCCCTCCTATTTTAAATATTACATACTCTAGGGGCGCCTGGGTGGCTTAGTCGGTTGAGCGTCCGACTTTCGCTTGGGTCATGATCTCGCGGTTCGTGGGTTCTTGCCCCGTTTCGGGCTCTGTGCTGACTGCCAGCTCAGAGCCTGGAGCCTGTTTCAGTCTGTGACTCCCTCTCTCTCTAAACCTCCCCTGCTCACGCTGTTTCTCTCTCTCTTCTAGAAATAAATAAACATATTAAAAAATAATAATAATAAATAAATAAATAAATAAATATTACATACTCCCAATAATTAACAGGATTTTTCTGCTTATGAATTTTCACAAAATTCATTAATAAAAATTTAACCGTGAAAGTCATGATAAATGTATATTTTCTTACCTCTCCTTTTTGGGCACAGTTTAAGATAACTGGTGGCCCAATAATTCTTTGATCAGCCTTGTATAAGTCATTAAAAACAGAATCCTGGAAATCCATGACTATGAATACATTTTCAAATTCTGGAGATTCCAAACTTTCAAATTCTTCCACTGATTCCATCTTCACAAAGGGTACTTTAATTTCCTTGATTTTTTTCCAGGTGGTTATTAGAAATAAAAATTATTTCAGATTATAAAATTAATTCATATAACTCTAAATAAGATCTAAAAATCAATTCAATATCAACATTTTTATTTTTGTATTTGTAGTAAACTTTAAAATCACACAATGAGCATTATACTTAATACTGAACAGCCTATTTCTTATTTGTATTTTTACACATACATATCTCCATCCATATTGACATTAAATTTTAAATATTAATATCATAAAGACACAACTTTAATGTGACTTAGTAGTAATTATAAATCATCTACAACACACATAAAACTAAAATGATTTTTAAGTACATACATTTTGGCAGTAAGATTCATTAGAAAGATATCCACTATTACTTTTTATTCTCACCAAGAATATGATGCCACACTTAGTTCTTCCTGCATAAATTATCTTCAGAAAAACAGATACTATGACACTTAGTATCTACAAAAAGGGTGCAGATTAACTTAATCATTTCAGTAGATATGAGAGAAATAAGAAAGATATGAAGTAGGTTGGCAGTTCCCACATAGCAAATGCAGGATATAAAAAGTCAAGTTACTATTTAACAGAACATTTTATAATGTACATCTACGAAAAAGAATGAAGGTATTTAAGTACCTGCATGGCTCCTGTGCAAAAAGAACAGAACCATTTAAAAGAAAAGTCTGAAAGGTCAGTAAATTGTTTTGGCTTTATTTGCTAGGCTGATGTGATGAACTGAATTGTGTATCCTCAAGATTCACATTGAAGCCCTAAACTCTACCTCAAAATGAGACTGTATTTGGAGTTGGGCCTTATAAGAGGTAATTAAGATTAAATAAGAGGATGTAGGTGGGCCCTTATCCAGTCTAATTGGTACTTATAAGAGGAAATTTGGACACACAGGAGGTATCAGGGATGTGCATGCACAGAAAGGCCAGGTGAAGACACAGTAAAAAACAGCAGCCATCTGCAACCCAAGGAGAGAGATCAAGAGAGATCAAGATGCCAACATCTTGATCTTAGACTTCTAGCCTCCAGAACTTTGAGAAAATACATTTCATTTCTGTGGCTTAAGCCACCCACTCTCAGTATTTTGTTATGGCAGACCTCACAAACTAATATAACTGGTAATACAGAATTTGATATATTTCATTTGCTGAGACAAATTTCCCAATGACTGTCAATTATTATGATTTATAATTTGGAAGTAAAGCAAGAATGTGGAATAAAATTAATGGAAAAAACAGGAGGTGAAGAGTTTAAAGAAAAACATCCGATCTTTGTAAATATACAATGTGCTTTTAAATTTAACAATGCCAAAAGTAGTAAGGATTTTGTTATTTGCAAAATACACTATAGTTTGGGGTTTCAGAAATACCCAAATTTTAAAACTAATATAAATTTTCTATGTATCTATCTAGCTTTGAAGTGCATGAAATGTATCTTGTGCCTAATTAAGGTCCAATCACCATTAAGTGATTAAGTGGAATATAAGACTACAATAAGAGCAGTGCAGCATGCCACATGCAATGAAATGCTTGACCTACCATATTAACAACACTTTTTATTAATTTTTCATCCGATTTTCCAGGACAACTTTCTCTTATCTTTATAACAGGGACTTCCATTATTTTAATAGTCTGTGGAAAAGAGACTTAAGTATAAGATTAAGAAAACTATAAAATTATTTAAACACTGATGGAAGAAAAACAGCTTTTTAAAAAAAAAAAAAAAAAAAGCTAAAACTCCATACCTTTAAAGCTTTTATAAGTTCTTCATGTTTTCCAGCTTCTTGAGCCAATATTACTCTCGTTTCAATTTGAGGCATTTCTTCTATTAAGATTAAAAATGTTTAAATATGTTTATTGGGTAACAACATCAAAATTAGCAGCTTCCAATCCCGCTTTTGGCTATATCTGGCATGTTTTCCATCTTTGAGAAGATTATAACATTCTCTAAGATTAAAATGACTTAATTCCCAGCTTATTTTTACAAATTTGGCCATCCATCACTTTAGAGAAAGAGAAAACACATTGTAGCAGAGTATACAAACATCAGCACCCTCCTGACCAAAAGAGCATTCACAGTCTTGCACAGCCATCCTCTTCAATAGCGGATGCTGCAGACATTTAGGACATTTACAAAGTGGCTCAAGGGAAGAAGTGGCTGGCTCTTCACCTGATCCATCATAACTGAACAAATTCTAACAATGTTGCAGCTACAGTGCCCTCACATACCAAAAAAGCAATATTGAACAATAAGATGCTTTCTCCTTCAAAGTTGGGAAGCATTATTCCAAACAATAATCAAAAATCTACAGTGTAAATAAATGACTAAAGTCAACAAAACAAGAAAGAACAGGTGTTAGTGAGGATGTGGAGAAAAAGAAACCCTGTACGATGCTGGTAGGAATGCAAACTGGTGCAGCCACTCTGAAAAACAGTATGGAGTTTCCTCATAAAGTTAAAAATAGACCTACCCTATGATCCAGGAATCTCACTACTAGGTGTTTACCCAAAGATAAATACTAATTCAAAGGAATACATGTACCCCCTACGTTTATAGCAGTATTATCTAAAATAGCCAAATTATGAAAGCCAAGTATCCATCAATTGATGAATGGATAAAGATGCGGTATATATGAATACAATGGAGTATTATTCAGCCATAAAAAGAAGAATGCAATCTTTGCAATGACATGGATGGAGCTAGAGAGTACTATGCTAGAAGTAAGTCAGAGAAAGACAAATACCTTATGATTTCACTCATATGTGGAATTTAAGAAACAAAACAAACAAGCAAAGGGAAAAAATAAGAGAAAGACAAAGCAAGAGACTCCTTTTTTTAATATTTATTATAATTTTTAAAATTTACATCCAAGTTAGCATATAGTGCAACAATTATTTCAAGAGTAGATTCCTTCATGCCCCTTACCCATTTAGCCCATCCCCCTTCCCACAAACCCTGTTTGTTCTCCATATTTAAAAGTCTCTTATGTTTTTGTCCCCCTCCCTGTTTTTATATTATTTCTGCTTCCCTTCCCTTATGTTCATCTGTTTTGTATCTTAAAGTCCTCATATGAGTGAAGTCATATGATATTTGTCCTTCTCTGACTGACTTATTTCGCTTAACATGACACCCTCTGGTTCCATCCACGTAGTTGCAAATAGAAAGATTTCTTTCCTTTTGATGAAATCTCTATAATTAAGAGTTATAGAGAATAAACTGATGGTTACCAGAGGAAAGGGAATGGGAGGGATGGGTTAAAGAGGTTATGAGCACAGAGTGATGTATGGAAGTGTGGAATTACTATATTGTACACCTGAAATTAATATAACACTGTATGTTAACTAACTGGAATTAAAATAATAACTTTAAAAGGATTTACACAGTATAGAGAGATGCTCTCAACAAATATTTAGCGAATAGCTATACTCTAGCTTAACAGTTAGTATTACATTTAAATCTTAAATCCCTAATCAGTTAAGCTTAGGGATTAGGTGTTTTGAAGCTACTTAACAGGTTTACCTTCAACATATGAAGCAGATCCAGTAAGCACATTTTCCTTAGAAATTTCAGTAACTTTAGAATAAAAAATAGAGGAGTCTGCCAAGCTTGTCCTTCCAGTAGTGGATGTTAATACACTATTGTCAGCCATTGTTTGTACTCTTCTACGTTGACTGAAAAAATAAAGTTTGAATAAAAATACATGATCATTGGGCAAAAACAAGCATTAGAAGATCTACTTTTATATCCAGAATCTATAAAAAGCATCATGACTCATTTTTCTTAATACTGAACCAAAGAAAAGTCATTCAACTTCTCTGAGTCTCAGTTTCCTCTTCTGTAAAATAAAGATACTAATACATGACTCATAGGAATATAGTAAAAATCACAATGTATGTAAAGCACTCAAAACATTACCTGCCATTTAATGAAATTTCAGAAGGTAGTCATAAATATTCTATCTCCCTCCCCGACACCTTTGCCCTCAACCAACCTATTCTTCTTCCTATGTTCATTATATTATTACCATCTCTCAAATAATCCCTGTCAAAAACCAGATCTATCCTTACCTTTTCCTCTACTTTCTTTGTCTTCCCCCAAATCCCTATCAATCCCATCTCAGGTATTCTGGAACCTCAGAGGAGGTATCTCTGATTATCATTTTATTGCCAGAGCAGCTTCTTAGGGAAAAAAAGCTGAAACCTGGCCCCTCTTCTTTGTGCTCAATGCCACAATGGTCAAATACAACAGCCCCAAACAACTTATCAGTTTCTTCAGGTTACTCTCCACATGGTTTCCTGGGGTATAGTCCTAAACACAAATGTGACCGCCATTACCTCCCTGCTTAAGAATGTCCACGAGCACTCCTCCCTATATGGCCAAGGCCAAATTCACCATTAAGTTTACAGTTTGGTCCTAGCCTGCCTATTCAACCTCATCTCCTGTCCAATGTCCACATTCCACATATACTGTATGCTCTAGAAACAGTGTATTTCTTCACATTTTTTAAACACAGATCACAATTTACTCCACACTTACTTACATTCAATAGTGCTCAATTCTCCACCTAGCACATCTTTCAACCCTCAACCCACTGCTCTTGACTCACTCTCTGTGGATTTCTCTGTATATCTCATGTATAAGTGGATTGTTCTCTATCTGTATTTTCTTATTACTTTACAATCATCTCTCCTTTAAAAGACTTAACAAGACAGTTATGCATGGATTAGTGCCAATATGACTCTGGACAATGCAAGAAAATCTTTTTTTTTTTTTTTTAAGACTTCCAAGATTTAAGAGTTGAAAAGTCAGGCAAGCATGGAATAAAGGAAAAGTTAAGTGAATTTTCATCAATTCATATCAAGTTTGCTCTGTAAGTTTATTATTATCTTTAAGTTAACTTCCAGAATATTGGACAAATATTAAAAAGAGGCCCTAACTTTATCTGGAGGTACCTACCTGATCTTTTTTATCCTTTCCCACTTTTTTTAGATTAATAAAATATACAAATATCATCCACCTGGTTTTTATCAAAGTAGTAGTTTAAGTAAACTATATGCTGTGGAGAAACAGTAAGGTGTCATTAGCATCATTTCTGGATGGTGATACATCCAGAAGTGGTGATGTGCACTAATAACCAATAACAACCACAGATCTGAGCATAATTGTTAGGTGCATACTGCAAAGCCAGGCGACTCAGCTGCCTATCTCAACTCCTCACTCAGTTTTCCACATCGGTGAAAGAAACTCAAATTTAGTTCTGATAAAAACTGAATAGATGACATGTTAAAATGAGCAACAACTACTGCCTTTCATAATATTCAAAATGTGAACATTTTTTATGGTCTTACCATACATCCATATCAATCATTATTCTAAGATTCTCCAAAGGAATGTTCCAAGAGTTGTTAATATGGGTATTCATTTAGAATCAATGACAAATTCTAACCAGCCCTTATTTTTTTGTTGTTTAAGTCTCTTACATTTAATTGTTACCAGTGAAAAAGAAAAGGCTTTCATTCAAAGTTCCCTTAAAAGAAACTTAAAAAAAGTCAAGAGATGCATTAACGTACTTTAAGGGATGGAGAAGGGAGATTTTTAATAATCAAAAATATCATATGAGTTTACATTTTTTTCATGCCCGTTTATTTATTTATTTATCTTTTGAGAGAGAGCACACACACACGGGCACATATGCAAGGGGTATCCTAATCTCCTCTTCTTATAAGGACGCCAGACATATTGGATGAGGGCACATATTGTGCCCACCCCCACAGCATCTTTTTAACTTGAATTACTTTTTTTTTTTTTTAAATTTGAGAGAACAGAAAGAGAGCTACATGCATGAGCAGGAGAGGGGGACAGAGGGAGTGGGAAGGGGGTGGAACACAGAGACAGAGAATCTCAAGCAGGCTCCACACTCACCACAGAGCCAATCACAGGGCTCAATCTCACAACCCTGGGATCATGACCTGAGCCAAAATCAAGAGTTGGGAGGCTTAGGGCACCAGGATGGCTCAGTCACTTAAGTGTCTGACTTTGACTCAGGTCATGATCTCAGAGCTGGTGAGCTCAAGCCCTGTGGTCAGGCTCCGCAATGGAGCTTGTTCTGGATTCTCTGTCTCCCTCTCTCTCAATAAATAAATAAACTTAAAAAAAGAGAGTGAGTGTGGGAGGCTCAACTGACTAAGCCACCCAGGCACCCCTCTCCTTTGCCTGTTTAAAGATCATCAAAATAGGTAATGAGAAATTAAAACTGTCTCTGATAACACTGTATATGATCAATTTATTGCTGAAATAGCTTCAAATTTTAGAGGAAAAAAAAAGAGCTGTATGGAAAGTTGATGACAACATCCAACACTCTGATTACAAATAGAAATACACTAATCACATTTTCATACTCATGTATTATGTAAGCTTTTAAAAGAAATTTAATGTTTATTTTTGAGAGAGGGCGACAGAGACACAGAACACGAGCAGGGAAGGGGCAGAGAAAGAGGGAGACACAGAATCCTAAGCACGTTCCAGTCTCTGAGCTGTCAGCAGAGCCCAACACGGGGCTGGAAACTCGAACTCACAAACTTACGAGATCATGACCTGGGCTTAGGTCAGACACTTAATGGATTAAGCCACCCAGGGGCCCCTGTAAGCTTTTTAAACAAAGACAAGAGGATCAGTGTTCAAAAACTATACTAAGTTTATTTCTCATCCAAGAACATGCTCAAGCAGCTTTTGAGTAATTAACAGTAACACATGCCTCTTTTCATCCCAAACAGAAAACCTGTCATTTAAACAAATACTCACTTTAGGTTTCCTTTTACTTTTTTTTTTTTTTAAGCAATCATCTTTCAGAGGAGTTAAATACAATACTGGGGATGATGGTGGTATTACTGACAATAACATTAGTGTTAACATTATTAAAATTTTGGTTAAGTAATAACGATTTAATGTTTAATATGTGGCAGACATTGCTCTAAATCTTTTACTTGTATTTACCTAATTTTTAAAACAATCCTAAGAGGCAGGTACTATTATTACTGTCTCCATCTCAAGAGAAGCCTAAAAAAGAAAGGTTAAGTAACCACCCAAGTCAGTAAAACAGGGATTCAAACCCAGGCTGATTCCAGAGGCTGCACTTTTAACCACTAAGCCAAACAAATCTGTACCAGGAAGGAAGGCGCATGCGGGGGGGTGGGGTTGGGGGTGGCCGGAATAAGCTGGCGTTTTATAAACTAAAAACTAAACTTCCTACAGAGAAGACACCAAGAAGAATCCTAGAATGAAACCACTAAGCACTGAGATAAGCCCACAAAGGCTGCAGCTGCCGGCCGCCAGAGCCGCAGAGGACAATGCGGCTGGTCTAGAGCACTCTTCCCAACTCCCTCCCTTCACCCAGCCATTCTTTCGGAAGAAATACCTAACCAGGTGAGCGGTGAAGATGCCCAACTACCTGGGGGACTTCGGGATCCCACTGCGTGTCACGGCGCCGCTGTGGGGAGTGCGGTGGGGGAGCTTCCAGAGCCAGGAAGCTTGGGCAGGGATGCTCCGGAATTCGCGGCCATCAGGGCGGGGCAGTAGGTATAGAAGGGGTCCACTGCTCCGGGGAGCTTGGCCCACTCCCACCTCCCCTACCCACACACCCACAAAGTCCTCACCACTCTCAAAAAAAACGCCTTGAAAGTCCACCTCTTCAAGCACCGACTCCCCTCACTGTTACCGCCATTCCTCGCCGGTGTCAGCCACAAACAATTCAAAAAGTGAGTCGCTTTCTCTAAAAGCCATGCCGATTGGTGCGTTATGTCAACCTCTATCCCATAGGCTAGGGTCTCCAGAGGGGCGGTGATTGGCCGGTGCTCTCCGCCCACCTCCCCGCAGGCGCCGCTTGATTGGTTCTGCGTGCGTTTCAAATAAACCCAACGGCTCAGACGTCCGAACGTCAGGGGGCTGTAGAGAAGTGCCCGGATGCGACCGGAAGGTGGAAGTGGTAGCTCTTGGGCTTTTCTGGGAGTGTCAGGTGTGTCTGTGGCTACCGCTTGTTTACTCAGTAAACATCCCGTTTCCTGGGTCAAGTTTGAGTGGATTCTTCTCCCCTGCCAATGTATTCCTAAGCGTCACTAAATCCTTTGAACTAAATCTGTGCCCCCACGTTTGAATCTTTTCCCACTTGTTGCTGGAAGCTGAAAGATTTTCCTCCTGTATGCTTTCTGCTTTAGAAATGTTATATAAAGTTGGCTAAAAGGTTTTTGACCCTGTTGGTGTGGCAGGGCTGGGACTTGGGAATCCCGGGACTCTCCAGGAAGACTTCAAATCAGCAGCCGGTTATTTTAATTCGAATGTATGCGTACCCGGGTGGTTCGGTCAGTTAAGCATCAGACTTAGGCTCTGGTCATGGTGTAGTGCTCCGTAAGTTTGAGCCTCACAACTGGCTTGAGGCTGCTTTGGTTTCTGTGCCTCCAGCTCTCTCTCTGCCTCTTCCCTGCTCGCGCTGTCTCTCTCAAAATAGTAAACATTAGAGAATAAATACATAAATTCTGATGTATGTAGACACTAATCTGGTCTGGCAAATTTCACGGGTGACTAGAATAAATCCTTAGTGTTTCTCGGACTTTTTTTTTTTTTTTTTTTAACATAAGCTTGCATTTTAACAAACGGAAAGTTACTTAGGGAGATTCTAGAATCGCCTGGAGCTAAAGTGAACTGCTTCCTGCTGCCCCCTCCCCGCACCGTGAGATCTTTTCTTTTCTATGAAGTCTAGCCAAGATTTTATTGTTTGTCCTGTATTACTATTGCGATTGCAAAAACAATCTTTTATTTTCTTCAACTTCTAAATATAGTACCCTATAATATTATCTCTTAAAAAAAAAAAAACTCCCCCACCCAGGGTAGGTTTTGCATAGTTCCCACCTAATCACAGATTTAAGTAAAAGAAGGGGCATTCTCCGCCCAAATCTTAAATTCCATTAAAAGAAGGAAAACTTCTACTTTGGAATGGAAGACTTCCGAAATCACAAACAGGTGAGAATTTACAAGTTTTCCTAATTTTGTCAGGCCAACTTAAAACACCTGAAAATTCCGTAAGGTAATCCAAAAAGTGAGTGACAATCTGATAATTATTGATTTCCTTCTTTATTTGCAGTCTGCCTTCATTGCAATGCTGTGATAACCGTCAAGGCAAAAGAAAAAAAAATAGTATTTGAAATCTTCCTTGGGAATGTGCTTGCATACTTAAACCAGGGTGTGCCCAGCATTCCAAAAATTCTCATCACTTAAATATATTAAGCTAGTGAAGAAATCAGCCTATTTCCTCTGTGCACCAGGTCACTGTTTAACTAGCTCTGCACCCAAATCTAGTGACTATGTGGTATCAGCACACAAAATATGTGCTAGGCTAGCGAAAGCTATTCTTGATTTCTTTCAGGATATATTGCAGTTTGACTAACAAATAGACGGGCAATACAACCTTCTTCCATTTCATAACCGTGTTAACCTCCTTTTACATTTCCTATCCATATAGCCTCAAGCAAGTTCTCTGTGCCTCAGTTTTACTTTCTATAAAAGGGCTTAATAGTACTTCATAGTATTGTGAAAGAGTTAATATACATTCAAACATTATGGTTAATATATGTTAATATAGGTAATTAAAACATATTCTGTATGTAGTAAACATCTAATACATGCTAGCAGTTAAGATTTCTGTGACTTTCACTACTGCTGTTGTCTCAGCTAAGGCCCTGTAACTGTCTGATCGGACTGAAGTTCTCTACACCACCTCCTCACCCCTGACCACCACAACAATGGCACCCATGCTTGCGTGCCTTTGCCCCACCCTGCCCCAGCCACAAACTAACCCCCTTCCCACCCAAGCTTCAAGCTTGAAGCAGCCAAGACTTCCAGTGCTTTCTTTTCCTAGCAGAAGGAGGACATTTTTCTTCTATACCAATTCTAGTCTTCCTTTTCTCCTTTAAAGAAACCCTGCTGTCCCGCTGCGCTCAAGGTGTCTCCTCTGGTCTGGAAGACACGGCTGTCTTGCTGTTGCCCTTGGCCAGGCTTCTGTCCCCTTCCAAGGCAGGTCCTAGCCAAGATTTTTTTTGTGTTAAATGTTAGCCTCTTTCTCTAGCCCCCTTCACTGGAAATACAGTTCTCCAAATATTGTGTCAACCACTGTTTGTGTGGGGTAGATAGATAAATCAAAGGAGGAGTAGTGTGAAAGAATAAACCATTCTTATGTGTCCTCCAACAACTCCAAGATACTGAATGAACAGGTTTCAGATATAAAATACTGAAGAAATCTAACTGAATTTAAGCACTTAGTATATTGAAGTATGTGACATTTCGCCCCCAAGCAATAAAATAATTTCGGGGGGGGAGGGGTGTAAAAATGATGGAGGTGGAGAAAATGAAATGTGAAAGATGAAAGATAGAACTACTGAGATTCGCCCTGTGGAGGCTCCGCTTTCCCACCTCCATCTCCAAGTCAGGTGACACTCAGGACTCCCTTTCTTGACTCCCATCTTGACTCCTATCTCATGCTTGTTTCTCCTTCTAGTTCATTCCCTCTTATTCATAGTTCCTCTTTCCTCCATCCCCTTCTCCATCTCCATCTTCTTTCAGCTTCTTCAGAGCAGCAGAGAATGGGGAGTTAGAAAAGTTATTTTTGAGTTATGGGATATCTTCCTCTACTCCATACCCTCCCTAATAAGAACAGTATATCTGAAAAATTATTAAATCTGTTGCAATAAATGGGCAGTATTTGTTGTACTAGACTTTGATTTTATTACCTAAAAGTGTAATGAAATATATTACAACTTCTAGATTTTATTTTAAAATGTGAAATGTTGGGTGGCTCAGTCAGTTGAGCTCCAACTGTTGATTTCAGCTCAGGTCATAATTCCAGAGTCATAAGATTGAGTCCTTCCTTGGGCTCTGTGCTGAGCATATAGCCTGCTTAAGATTCTCTCCCACTGCCACCTCTCTCCTGCCCATGCTCTCTCTCTTTCAAATAAAAAATAAAATAAATAAAATGTGAAATGTTACATTATCAGTAAATTTAAATATTTTATTTTAGGATTAAATGTTTTACTGTAACTAAATCATAACATCATGATGTCACATAGATTTCAGGAAATTGTTTTTCTCCTCCTATCACCATCCTTACCTCCCCAGAGCATTTTTGAGGGAGAGAATGTAAGTGCAAGTATGTGTGTGTGTGTGCGCGCGCGTGTGTGTGTGTGTGTGTGAGAGAGAGAGACAGACAGACAGTCAGAAAAGAATCCCAAGCAGGGATTCTCAAGGGATCCCAAGCCCTACACCGGGCTCCATCTCACAAACCATGATATCATGACCTGAGCCAAAATCAAGAGTTGGACACTTAACTGACTGACCCACCCAGGTGCCCCTCCTCGAAGAGTTTTTGAAGTACGTAGCTATATATAATGTCACAGGAAATACAAAGATTCAGTCTCTCTAAGTACTTATAAGATTTTATTTCAAAAATTTTAATGAATAGCCTTGGAATTCTGTCCTTCCTTGGAATTAATAACATTTTCCAACGGAAATGTCCTATTTCCAAGTTTGTTATAATGCAGCAACTCTTAACCTGTCATCTCTGCCTGTAAAACAAGCTTTAGAAATTATCATCACGGAGAGTCAGAAGAAGCTATTTTACATACCTCAATAGCCAGCAATTAGGATTTGAATGGTAGCTTTTTTCTTATGAATAAATCACTTAACATAGATTTGCAAGGCCATACAAATTTAGCACAAAGCTTCACTTGGACAAAGAGACTTAAGTTTGTTTGATGGAGCAAGAGGTTTCCAAATATGATAAGGTCATTATTTATAATTATGTAATTTGATTAGTAAAATTTTAGATGTGGAAAAAAATTCAGCTTGTTCACTTCATTCTTCATTTTACAGATGACTTTTAGCAATGCCAGTATCATGGAGGTTTTATTCCTTTACCAAGGTCAGATAACTAAGTGGCAAAATCAAGATTTCAAGTTTTATTTTCATTAATCTATCTCTCTTTTTAATATTAATATTTATATTCTACATCATACTTATAAAACTACCACTATCCATAAGATACTTTCAGTTCCATAAGAGCCTTGTTGGTCTTCTTCACCTTCTTCAGACCCCACAACAGTTCCTGGCAGATAGTACCTTCTCTAAAGTCACTGCATGAAAAAGTTGTTATTGATCTCTAAGAATACATATTGCCTTCTTCTAATCCATTCTCCTGCCTGCATTCAGGGTGACATTATTTAAAACCAAACTCATCATAGCACATCCTTAAAACACTTCTATCCTACTGGGCCTGCAAACTCTGATCTCTGCTTAACATTTCCAGCTTCATCTTGTACCTTGTTCACATTCTTTGAGTTCTATACCTGCCTTCTCAAGGATTTTTGCACCTGTTCTGTCTACCAATCTCTGATCCATATTCCTTTCACCTAGAGATCAATTTCTACTGATCCTTTAGGATTTGCTCAATTTACCACTCCTTGGAGGATCTTTCCTAACTACCCACACCATCAGAACCATATTAGCCACAGTGCCTAACACATAGAAGGCATTCAATTAAATATTTGTTGAAATAACATGTAAATGAAATAATGGATGAACTTATTTTTATTATAATATCAGTTATGCTTTTTCCAAAGACACTAAAGAAAGTTTGCATTATTTTTACTTTTATCTAACCTAGTATTAATGACAGGTTTTCAGGGAAAATTAAGTGGCATGTTTCCAAAATTAATACATTTACATCA